TAAAAATACTTAGACAAATATCTAGTATTTGTTTTACCGCTTGAATCTGAAAAAAGTGTAAGAAGTTTCGGCAAAGTCACAGTTTTTGTTTTGAAAAAATAATGGCCTTTACTTTTTATACGTTAATAATTTAAAAATACATTTATCATTGATTTAACTATTTTTGGTGTTTAAATATTCAAATTTGTTTTCTGTTACTTTAACTATATTGACTTTACCGAGTTCAAATATTTAAAAAAAATAATGACTAGAGCAGTTAGTAAAATGCTAGTATAGAAAACCTTAACTATTTACGTGATTTTAGTAGTCCATCTTATTCTAATTACTTTTGGCGCGTTTTTTCAAACTTATCCTTGGCTACCGCAGCGCCACGGGGGCCTTTGGGGGCGCAGACCCCGGGGCCTCGCTAATGCAGGGGCCTCACGCATGCAGGGGCTTCGCGCACTTGCAACCCCAGTAGAAAAATATGTTTATTTGAATTTCGCGCTTTACGCATCGCATTCTAAAACTCACGTCACGCTTCTCGCGCTTTTGCGTGGTACTTAAATATTAAGGTGTTTACGATTTACGTTCAGGGATTCCCCGTGTTTAATTTCGCCTGTAACATTGTAGAAACTGTCGTCGGCTTATGCTTTTATGTGCGAGCAGCAGTATGAGTTGCGATGCAATTTTTTTGTTTAATGTATGATCATTAAAACTAATTCCCGGGGCCCGGGGCCCGGGGCCTCGCAAAGGCTAAGGCCGTTACTGATCATTGGCTTGTCAGTGCTTAGAGTTGCCATAAAGGTGCTAAAAAGGCCCATTTACTTTTTTTCGGATATTATCGATATGAATTTTTAAAAAAAATGAGGTAAGCGAATATTTAACGTGCTATGTATTTGCTTTTTGGAGGCCCCTTGACGATGGAGGCCCTGGGCACGGGCCCCGTGTGCCCTTATGGTAAAGACGGTACTGGTTAAACTATCTATCTATTAAAAAACGGGTATTATATCTTTTTTAAATGAAATTGTGGTGTTTGAGTACTTCACACACGGCCGTCTGATCCCGAACTAGGCAGAGCCTGTACTATGGTAACCAGACTGCTTCTTCGACTACGTCTTCGACTACGTCTTCGACTACGTCAACCGATTTCCAATTGAAATCAGGAACAGCATACGATTTTTTTTAATGAATTCAGATAATATCTCGTAAATTGACAATACTTTTATATTACACCTGGACTTACAAAAATTAATTGATTGATGATAACATTTATAGTTCCTATAAATGATGAATGTATCTACGTGCTTTGTTTTCAGTATCTCAAGTTTCTTGGATTCAAAAGCCTACTTTTAATAATTGAAATAACATGCATAGATGTTCATTTGCTGTGTAACATTTAGAAAGTTTGTAAACAAACATGCTTCGTCTGTAGCTTGCCTACGCTTATAAACATTCGTAATACTACTGATGCAAAGAAGATCTGACGACCCTTCACAGGAACACAAAGCACATACACTAACTAAAGCATATGATTTTTCACATGCGGCTTTTCATATATGATAGCATATGATTATAGATATTATAGCATATGATTAGCATATGATAGCATGTGCAAAGTAAAGTGTCGTCCCATGTGGGGTTTAAACCCACAACACTCGGCATAGTAGGAAGCGGCGTGGCAACCGCTTAAACCACTACGCCATCCGTGCAGTCGACTGCACTGCAGACACTGCAGACACTGTCGCATACTTGTAACTTGAAATGGGTGTTGGGGGGAGTCTGAGGCCTCTTATTTAGAGCAGCATTACAATATTATTATACTAGAGAAACATTACACATTTAAAAATCTTAAGTGGTAACCGAATAGGTTGCAAAATTAAGCAATCCTAGCCAGGTCAGCCTATGGATGGGTGACCATTCTTTGACACCCTGAAACCCCTCCGTGACTCGAAGAGTAAGTTAAGCCGTCGGTCCCAGTTGCAATATGAACATCTGTGACAATCATTACGGTCACTCCGTGTAAAAAATAGAAGTTCAGCGGTATCTTAGTAAACTTAAAACCGACCCCAACCTTGTTTGGGAAAAAAGCTCTAAGGAAGGAACATTACACAATTGGTTTTGGTTTGGACACTGTTTTCTGTACTTACTAAACGGGATGTTCTAAATGGAAACGGCTACAAAGTGTTCTTAATATTCTAAGAAGTCAAGAACGACGTAGCATCAAAGTGTAAATAACGATTTTGATAAACAGAAGTGGCACTGTTTTTGTATACGCCGAACTGTACAAATTGGAAAAATCTCCCAGACTGCAATTACTCGTATACATTGTATTACAATGAGTATACATTACTCGATGTCAGTAATGAAATAATAATCGCCAACAGTGTTAATTTAATTTAATTAATAATTGAATTCTGTTTTATTCGGATTTTATAGATAAAAACAAATTGTGGTTGCAAAAATGATAAAAAAACATCTTTGAAGCGTGTCGTATATCGAGTCAAACTTGTAACGTTACAAAGGGCAGAAAAATTTAATTTCTTTATTAGTAGTTTATTCCTAAGCATTATCAGTCGTTGCGTTTTTTTTCATGTATGTATGTATTGTGTGCAATTTACTACCTATGTCAAGAGTATCAATCAATTTATCAGACAAGCATGCAATACTGAGCAAACGCTGAACTGGAAACCTATTTGATTCGGGCTGCGCGACACGAATACTTAATACATCAATACGATTTTTAGTTTGTAGGCCAGTTCTCGCAATCAGTTACGCACACATAATCGCTTCGTCCATCGCTCATAAATAATCAGTTTCCCGTTTTACATGATTGCAACGATATATCGACATTATCAGTAATGTCACAGTAAAACCTCGAAATTAATACCGATCTCATGACATATTACTCAAGGTCGGTGAATAAATCTAAACCCGCTTTTTTTTCATAGACCAGTACGAGTTAGAAAATATTCACTGATAGATTTTAAATCAATTTCAGAAATTAAGTTGATTTTCTATAGGACAAATACAAATATTACAAACTTATTTTAGTAAAAATATTTTCAATAAAATTTGATTGTTAATACAGATACTTATTTTTTTTTATGGTATAAGGGGGCAAACGAGCAGACGGGTCACCTGATGGCAAGCAACCACCGCCGCCCATGGACACCCGCAACTCAAAAGTCACAAGTGCGTTGCCGCCCTTGGAGTCCCTCCCGCTCGAGTCAGCGGGGTGGATTTGGGCTCCGGTAACCTCACTCACTCAGTGAAAGGCAACGAAAGAATTGTTTAACACCGGTTTGCTGTGAGGTCGTGGTATCACTCCGGTCGAGCCGGCCCATTCGTGCCGAAGCATGGTTCTCTCTCTTAATTTTTGTTATCGATAAAGATATTGGCATTCATATCAACCAATATTATAGTCTTCTATTTTTGTCGGTATGGCGCTTTCTATGGGTATTTAATGGCGTATGGTTTGTTGATACACCCCCAATCGTAGTCATACTAGCTTTTGCCTGCGGCTCCGCCCGCGATAAAAAGTAGACCATTTTACCATCTAATAATGTAGCCTTCCATTGGTGAAAGAATGTTTAAAATCGGTTGAGTGGTTTAGGCGTGAAAGCACAAGAAAAGAACTCACTTTCACATTTATAATATAAATATGGATATAGACCTGCTTGCACCGTGTGTACATGTATAGCGATATCTTGTCCTCAGAACCAGTTTCCATTTTAAGTTGTCTAAAAAAATAAAAAGATGTAATTGAAACGTTGACTTGCTGTATGAATATCCTGGTCAGGGCCTTATTAGTTATGCGTCTGGGACAAGAAAACTACGCCTGTATACATTTTTTAATCTTGATATCATGACTATAAACATCCGGATAAAATTATACAAAATTTATCATGAAATACACTTCTGATGAAACATTAACAGATCCTCCCACATCCAACAGAGACCACTGTTTAAAGGAATAAAGTGGATAGGACTTTATAAGTCAGCTGGTAGTAGGGTAGTGAAGGAGGAATAAAGTATTTTTAAATGTTTATGTATAAAGGAGTAAAGTTAAAGTTAAATAAATTAAGATTGTAAATACGGCCACCATGTGCCATGTGCGACAGATTAATGTAGTTCGAGGTTTGGTTGTAATGACGTCAAACAGCTCGTTTGTTTCGTCTACGTCGACACGTTATGCCTCAGACAGTGAAAGCTAAACATCATAGTTGAAAGACACTTGGCAAACACGTTCCACATCAACCAGACTAAGTATTTACTTTATAGGATCTTCGGTGATTCGCAAATATGATGCTAATCGGCTTGTTTGCAACGCGGGTCGCAACCGAAAGTGAAAACAGACGAAAATATTCTAAAAATGTAGTTCTGATCATGTATTTACAGGTTTTTAATAAATTAAAGAAATGGTTTTAGTAAAGCCTTATAACATGTTATACTAAAACATGTTTCATATATTGGTTTTCTTAGGTTTTACGGACTTCTTTGTAAGGCACAATGTCTATTGTGCTCTAACATGATAATTTGCAATTACTGTTATGAAAGGACTAGTTTTCTTTAACTAAATGTAAATGTAACATTAATAAAAGTTACACCGATGCATGGCGAATATTTTCATGTAGGGAATTGCAAACGAAAAATGAGTTGGTCATTTTAGTGCAGTATGATATTTCTCTGAAACTATTCGTGTCATTTTATTTTCGTTTTTTAATAGTTATTACGACGTAGTATTTTTGGTACTCTTAATGACGATAAAAATAAATTTAAAGGGTTTACCTCTCATCAATAAACGTCATCACAAAACCATTAATAAACTGCAAAATGTACTGATAGTAATGGCATAAATAGTAATGGTAAAACTTCAGTTAATTAAATATATCATAAATAATATAGGTACATACGCTGTTTAAAATAATCTTTTTTTTAAAGAAACATTTCATCTCTACCTTTTCTATCAAATACATAATTACAATAAAACGTTATTTAAAATAATAAAAGTAACTGACCTGAAGGAGATCCATGCATTATCCTTTCACAGTTGTACGCCCATTCTGATATGATTTCCTTCTCCGAGAGATTGAACTGGTCACTACTTTGATCGTAGAATGCGTCGTACCCCGAAGACATTTTCAACTTCAGCAACTGGATCAAAGCACCGGCCAAACACACGGCGAACGAGGCGGAACTGCCGGTTCCCGCACCAATTGTCAATTCCGATCCAAGCGATATTTCCATAGATTTAACAGGCAAACTTGTACTGCCAAAGATTCCAGAGAATACGTACAAGAAACTTCGAAGAGAATTTTTCTGATTGTTTTGTAACGAGTCGAAATTTGGTTTGATTATATGTAGGAACTCGTCGACTCGTCTTAAATGGTTTTCATGGTCTAGTTTGTCTGGGATTTTCCATGAGAATTTGCCGGTAATGCCTGATGCTAGCTTGGGTTGAAAGAGACTATTCACTGTTAAACCCAATGGTAATGTTTCTTCTAGTCCGACGCAAGGTAAATGTATTCTGATTGTAGGTTCCACGTGGTAATTTACTTCCTGTAAATTTAAGGTAATGATATCATCAAATGCCTAGGCACCGCAAGATGATCTTAAACCCCATTAAAGACGAGGATGTATGATGTGTATGTATAGATACTGGAATTAAATACTGTTTTGTTTTATAAAAATATTTACAAAATAATGAACTCCTCATAAGCAAGTCCCAATCTTTGCAATATGTATATTGTATATTGTGTACGGATGGTGATAGTCTCAAATATATAAACCATTCGGATGAATAGCAATTATATGCGTTCTTAAAGCTTATATGTAGCTTCTAAAAGTTAACTTTAAATGTTTTAACAATGAAGGGAACGTGGTTTAGCAATCTTGAATTTTTTTTAAACATCAATCTTACCAGAAGTTTGCATATTCAACATCTAAGTTTATTAAGTATAATTTTCTTAAATTGCTGAATAAGTAAACCACATCCTCCTTTATTTTGTACATAACTGGTATTTTAGAGCATTAATTCATAATGTTATTAACCGATCTTATGATAAACTAAACACAAATTAATATTCTCTAACTATTAATTAAACTATAAATCTAAACATTTAAATGGACTTTTTATTCAAAAATATACTGTATTTTTGATTTTTACTAAACTTTTAGGTATAACATTTACTAAATGGCGTTTAAAATACTGATGACATTTAGAAGTTTTGTCACAATGAATACCTTTAAAAAGTTTTAGATGTCTATGCCTTAAATACCAGAACAACGTTACATATTTAAAAAAAACTTAAATTTAAGGTAAAAATAGAATGATTTTTCCATAATACTCAACTACCTAAATATACACATATAAAACTACGTTTATACGTTATCTCATGGTTTATACATACGTATATTTTGATAAAATTGGATCACATAAAAAAGACAACTCTAAAGATAATACATGCTTTCCTTAAAAATTGTAACAGTTAATAAATTAACAATTTGAGAAAGTAACGCCTTTTAGTAGTCTATTTGATACTACGGTTCCTAAGTAGGAATGTAATAGGTACCTTTTGGCAAGAAGGAGTAATATATATTGTTTAGTCGTATTATCATTGTTTACCCTGTAACTTTTGGTACCAAAACGGGGAAACCTCCAGACTCACTTTGCAGACTTGTATTTTTTTTAATCTTAGGTACTACTACACGTCTAAAGCATTTCATAATTCTATTCTTAACAACGCATAAAATGTATGTCTAAGTTATACTTTAAAACTTAAAAATGGGGTGAGTATAATTATTTTCATGATTTATATTTAGCACGCAACAATGCAACATTATGCAGTTCAATAACGGCAGTTCATTAGTCAGTCAGTTGTGTGAGATACAGTTAATGTAAACGTAGACTAAACTGGCGATTGTAAAAAGGTATAGCACTTACTTAAGTAGCCCGGTCAAGTTAGCCCGAAAAAAGGGGTACCCTTGCATAAATTCCCAAGCTGAATTTTTACATGAACGTTACTACGCTTCCGAACGATCCATTATAATAGGACTGATGACACTGATTTCCTGTTTGCGTGTATTATTAGGCTACAAACAGTAATTATAGTTTTAAAATTGAAGTAGTAATAAAAATCAATTTAATTAATTTAGAATTGTATAATGTTGCTCAAGGCCAAGGTCACAAAAATTGAGGGACTAGGTTTGTTTTCAGCTAATATTCTCAGATTCAATATTAATATATTAGTCACGCAGACTATAATAGTTTTACTTATATTTTGCGTCCAATGATATATGTCTCTTTACATATTATTGAGAATACAACTTAGTAAATTTTAGAATCACTCTTTTTCAGAAATGGTGAATCTTAAGGGAAAAGCGTAAGGACAATTTATTGTAAATAATTGCATGATCTACATTTTTCTATCTACATCAGCTATTTTTATCATAAAACTACCGTTTCGCTAAAAAACCTTTGAACTCTTTGAAAGCATAAAATTATTGCGTACATTTTTTTACACACATGGGATCGATGACGACTTTTCAAATTTCATTATAATGCTATCCCTAACGTTCATGTAAAAATTCAGCTTCTTGTTAATTTATGCAAATTCTATTTTGACCGGGCTAGTGTTTGAAATTTTGTCTTTTTACAAATTACATTTTACCTGTGTATAGATACTATACATTTTTTTTCTTTCATGTTGAAAACCACATTATAATGTTCTCGCATTGCTGTAATGTCTCAAAGTTAAGAGTTTTTAAAAATTACAGGATTTAGTTAATATGTAGATTGTGGAAGAAAACTAAAAAATACCTAATGTATTATATATACCAATATCACTCTGAAAATATGTAGAATAGGTTTTCAAATTTAGTGCTCATATTTTTCAAAATTTATTTAAAAAACAAAATGTATGGCATGTTGTGTGGTCTCGGTACACATTTGCTAAAACAACTTTCATATTTTAGAGAAAAATGAAAAAATATTTGTATAGCCAGTTAGCCAGTCAATTGTTCTATATTCTCTATGTTTTAGAAAGATTATAAAAAAATATATAAAATAATACCTTTATTACAATAGAGCTCCTGAGTCCCAGACTAACGGCAACAGCAGTCTTCCCATACACAACAGAATGTTCTCCATGAAGAATCACTTTCCCAGGCGCCGATACACTTACTGTGTACAGATTATCTATTCCGTTCAACATCTTTATAAGTAGTAACACGCAAGGAACCAAGAAAAACTACATAAATTTTGTTCTACTTCATTATTATTTCCAAATTACATTTCAAGACTTCTGAGCGTTCCACTGTTCGACTGTGAGCGTCTTTTGTGTGAATGCGTGTATGCTCTTCAGTTCTTCTTGTAGCACTGTGTTCACCAATCTGTGAAGTGAATTATTATACTTTAATAGGTATAATAGATCGATTGTTATGCAAAACAGGGACGTTTAGACGGCGGCGATACGAATCTGTGAATACAAAAACTGTATTGTTGTCTTTATCTCGCGAGTGCTACGATATTTTTTGAATACTTTTCGCATGTTTTGTTGACTTCCAACCCTAAGGTTTGTTTTATGTATTTTGTACCTATATGTTTTTTTCATCAAGATGAGCATTGTGTAAATTCTAACAGAATTGGTTTCTAGCTACAAACGTGTTTAGAATTATCATGAATTATTTGTTTAAAGGGCACTCCTGATGACTTGTTAGATAAAGTTTTATTTGCATGTGTATACGAGTTATATTTAGAATGAAAATATTGGTTTCTTTCCTGTATGAGTAACAATAAAATGTACATAGTATATCTGAGAGCAAAGATCTCTTGAGTAGGTAAATATTTCAACATCAACTTGACAAAACAATTTGTTAACAACAGCGAGTATTTTCTGGCGTTATAGTGTTCGACCCCAACATTAACAAAGCTTAGAAATAAATATTTTAGTTAGTTTAGAAATAAATATTTTAGTATAATATTGATTTTTAATTATTAACTAGCTCAAAGTTTTAAGAAGTAATCGACACATCAAAATAATACAAGAAATGCGTAACTCGCTCGAGGGTCCTTGGCAATAAAATTCTCGAGGTTCAAACTAGGCAATGTTTATTTCTACTAAATAAAGGGATATTTTTAAAAGCACATCAAATAACTTATCGCGTGATAAATGATAATCAATATTTATACTTAATATATTTATAATATTATATTATATTCATTACTTAAATATTTTTTTAAATTAAATAAATTATTTTACTGCAAACCTGCACTGCAACAATTGTTTAACAAAACTAGTACTTGAAATACTTCGAAAATATACATCAACAGTGTATTTTATATTTTTTCCTCAAATGCTTTGACAAATGGTTCTTAATGTACGAAAATATATTATTTTCATATCAAATATATTGATTGCACATCAAATTACCCATAGCGTACAAACGTGATACTCCCACATATGTAACAAAATAACTATTTTTGCAACCCGTCCGTCTAGCCAGCGTGGCACAGTAAGCCAATAAGTATTATTTAAAATTTATTAAGGCGACCCCGTCATAAACGAGCCGCTTCCAGAAAAATAGGTTAGGCAAGAACCGCGACCGGTCGGCGCTGTGCTGTGCCTGAGGGCCGTGACCGAAGAGGCGGGGCGGTGAACTGTGTTGGCGTGCTGTTAGCGGTGTCATTGGACATCGGAAACGCATTCCATAGTCTGCCATTCAGCTGCATCAGGGAAGCACTCCACTATCATGCCACGATATGCCATTTAGAGCCTCGTTCATTGATCGTCCCGACTGAAGCTCCATGTGCTGGATTTGCCGCCGTGGAGGTTTTACCGCGGTTGTATCCTTCTGCGAAGACGTCATCTCACAGGAGACGACCAGCGCCTTTTGCCGTCCTGAGTGTGGCCGCGGGTGGACGGAACGGGTTTTCCCCTCCACCCGACATAACGGCCAGCCGAGAATGTACCCGAAAGTGGTGCCCACGCCGTTGCGGGCAGTCGCTAGGAGGGGTTCGGATGTCTTAATAACAGCAGTTGCCGGATCCCTACTATTACAGGCGTCGAGCGGCGCACCGTGTGGTTTTAGTCGGTCCGATACCGACACACCACCCCACCGCAAACCACAGTGGAGTGACGGCCCGAGAGGGTTTCCACACGTAAAATAAAAAAGGTTGGGAACTGCGACCCCACAAGAAAACGAATCGCTATTAGAAACAAGCTGAATCCCGAATAGTAGGTTAGGTTATAAAAAGGGCTTTTCATCTGCATTCTTTTTAAAAAGACAACTCTCGCAGTAGAAATTTACCTACTCAAGAGATCTTTGTACCTACCTACATTGCCTACTACACGAAAACTTAAGTATGTAGGTATAACCCTATCTATTTTTTTTCTCGTATAAAAAGACAACTCCAGCATTAGAAATATATCCTGTGTCGCGGGGGACTTTACAAACATACATGAAACGGTGACAAAGGACACCCAGATCATCCCATGTGGGGACCTAACGCCTGCCGACATAACGGCCAGCCGAGAATGTACCCGAAAGTGGTGCCCACGCCGTTGCGGGCAGTCGCTAGGAGGGGTTCGGATGTCTTAATAACAGCAGTTGCCGGATCCCTACTATTACAGGCGTCGAGCGGCGCACCGTGTGGTTTTAGTCGGTCCGATACCGACACACCACCCCACCGCAAACCACAGTGGAGTGACGGCCCGAGAGGGTTTCCACACGTAAAATAAAAAAGGTTGGGAACTGCGACCCCACAAGAAAACGAATCGCTATTAGAAACAAGCTGAATCCCGAATAGTAGGTTAGGTTATAAAAAGGGCTTTTCATCTGCATTCTTTTTAAAAAGACAACTCTCGCAGTAGAAATTTACCTACTCAAGAGATCTTTGTACCTACCTACATTGCCTACTACACGAAAACTTAAGTATGTAGGTATAACCCTATCTATTTTTTTTCTCGTATAAAAAGACAACTCCAGCATTAGAAATATATCCTGTGTCGCGGGGGACTTTACAAACATACATGAAACGGTGACAAAGGACACCCAGATCATCCCATGTGGGGATCGAACCCACGACACTCACACGCACACAGTAGTACGAAGCGGAGCGTGGCGACCGCTTTACCACCACGCCATTCGTGCAGTCGATGCGTACATTATTCTGTTATAATTATTGACTTTAGACTAATCATTTACGAGTACATGTTTAATGTTTTTTTACTAATCACACAATTTTACAGCTTTTGTTTTTAAATTACAGATTAACATTAAGAGTTTTAGGGTTCCGTGCCTCAAAATAAAAAAAGGAACTTCGGATCAATGTTGTACGTCTGGCTGTCCGTCCATCTGTCACCACCCTTTGTCTCGGGAACGCGTGGAGGCATGGAGTTGAAATTAAAACTATATAATCAGGTATACAGTCCCGTGAAGCTTTGATAAAATCAAACTTCTAAGTTAACGTAAAAAATATACTGCCGTTTATGCCGTAAAAAACGCATACTTCGACACTCTCAGGCTAATAAAATTTTATAGAGTACTTCCCGTTGTCCTAGAACTATGAAATTTGGCAAGTAGCATCGTCTTATACTACAAGGACAGGATAAATTCTAAGAACTATACATTTTTAATTAAATCATAGTCTTCATTTAAAGTACATAATCAATCTTCGAGGTACAATTTCACTTATAAAACACAATAATATAAGTAAAAATAGTATATAGGTTTTGGAAACTAAATTTCAGGAAAAGTTCTGAAAAACTGGGAGACTCGATTCCTCAACTATTGTACTGAGCCATCGTTTGGCGAGTCCGACTCGCACTTGTCCGGATTTTTTCATAGAAAATGAACCCCATTTATGTACCGAATAACTAGCAATTATGAATATCACTCAGGAAAGTTATTGTTTTAACACACATCAATCTTTGACAAACGCCTTGACAATCACTCCATTTAGCGGTACTTTTACCGACTCGTATATGTAAAGTTTGCGACTATGACTAGATCATTATGATGGTATATATATTACATCCACGTGATATGAGACACAGAGCTAGGACTGTATGATTGTATAAATGACTGCAGACACGTAGGCCTGACTATGAATGAGCTTATAGGATTCCTTGGACAATCATAGCTTTAGAATATTAAATAGGAATTTAGATTTTATTCTTAACTTTGTGGAGGACGAATAAGTACCTCAGGTATCTCGTAGGCAATACGATACGATTACAATATGATAAGGAAGTGGCAAAGGTAGCATTATCACCAATACGAAGGAATGGTGAGGGATAACTCTGATCAAGATTTAGAAGAAATATTTTGAGATACGATTATGAATGATATAGAAATTTTAAATTTCAAATTGCCCTTTTATCTATGCAAATAAATAAAACTGAAGTTTCTGTTTGTAATGTCAAAATTATAAGTTTTTTCATGCTCACACGGTTATTTGCACAATACCTATGCCTGCCTGAAGACCAGTTTAAATATTTTTTGTCTGTATGTCTGTTTGTTCCGGGTAATCTTCAAAACAGCAAGACCGATTTTAATAATATTTGACTATCAGATAGCTGTCTATATAATGAGTAACTTAGGCTATTTTTCCTCTCGGAAAAACCTTATTAAATTTTGTCCGGTCCGGCAATCCAACCACCGCGACTGCAGTCCATGAGCCCTGGGCTCGTCGCGTAACGTACTACACAACTAAGGCAGCGCTTTTCAAATTCCACGCGAATGAAGTCGCGGGTACCAGCTAGTTCACAATATAAACGAAACACTTATAGGATACATCATCGTTCGTATGTTCCTCATGATTAATTAAGTTGAAAAGTATACATTAATTTCTGTGGCCCAGACACATACAAGCAACGTAAATAAAAGAATTTTCAATATGGAAACCCTTATTGGTATTAAATATTGAAACTATGAGAGGATATTTAAGAAAATTTATGAAAATAGACCATCCTTCTCCTCCATACCATATCTCATAAAACACGATTCAAAATGTTACCTCCTGTCCTCTCCGAACTCGCTGTCGCACGTATTCACACGCAGCAATATTTCACTTTTTAAAATTCGACAACAAGAATTCAGGACTGATTTTCCGCAGACAACCCTATACCACCGTGTTCGTAATGAAATAATCTTTATTTTAATTTAACTTTAATTCATTAACCAGACCGGTGCAAGTTACTAGTACCGATTTACCTGTATATACCTGCCTACCCAAGAGTTGTGACAAAAAAAAAGTCAACATAACGTTTGCATATTCTATGGCCTTCATACTTTCGGTTGGTATTTAATTTGTCTTTTAACCTAACCAGAGAAATTTAAAAAAAAAAAACATTTTTTTAATTGTTAATTAATCATATTCTGGACTGAAATTTTTTAGACAATCCATTTGCAATATATTTCTTGACATATTTAATTGAATATAAAATACTTTCATCCATTAACCAGCTCGGTAGGTCGTTATATAGCGGGATCTTAGACTTAGACTTTTATATTTCAAGTGAGAAAAAAACACAATTGTCAGGTCTGACAAAGCGATTATTACACAACGCCTAACTAAATGTATAAAAACACCGGCAAAGCTTAGCTATGTTCTGCCGATATGCGAGATTTTTTGCCTAACAAGTGTTATGAAAGTAGTATTTAAAAAATGACTAAAAACTAACCATGTTGGAGATCATTTACGGGGGCCTTGTTACTAAGACCTCTGGTATACAAGCATTCATATACTACAGTAAGTCAATTCGTATTGCCAGTTAAGAGGTATGTCAAAGCTAGTACACAGGAAGCACGTGTTTACACGTACACGAGACCTTAAGATACTGCATTTAACTACATTAAATTGATCTGACATAAGTGAAGTGGAAGTCAATCAAAGCGCATTCGTCCGTATCAATTTATGGTCAAGGTTATTGACATGTATTATTGAACTATTATTATTAAAAACAATTTGTTCTATTGAAGTTTGAACATTCTTCCGGTTGTACATACACTTCAGAATTTCAAAGGGTAATAACAATTATAGAGACTTTTATATGGAAATGAGCTGCGGCGAGTGGAAATAATTGTTTAGAGTCAATAAAGGTAATTATAGGTACATGAACGCATGATGATATAGCTTATTGTCAGGAAAATCGTGTGGATCTTAGCAACATTGTTGATATACCGGGGCTCAAAACTAGTGGACACACAACATCGCTGGTCGTAATAGCTATGTATATGGGGATAATCTACGGTATTTTAAAAAGAAAGAGAATATTTGGAAAAACTTATAAATCGTTCACTAAGATATTTTTAGAAACAATTTTATCTATAAGTGTATAATGTAGTGGATGTTCGTTCGTTTTTAAACGGCAGCAATGCCAAGAAAAGCACCTAATGTCACTGTGTATGCAATGCATTGAAAGAGTAGAATGGTTTATATATATCGGTTAGTGGTAAGTTAGTGGCTTAGTGGCGAACCTTGAATAGGTCAAAACTAAACGTTGAGAGAAGTCACAGATGAAGCTTTAGCTACTATTGTTCTCGAGTATATAATATTAAAAGTATGTAAAGTTAAAACTATAATAAATATTTTACATAATATATGTAAGTTCCTCACCTATGTCTCGCAAGAAGCGGTTTCCCTTGGAATTTATCGGACACTATCACTGCGGAGAACTTTGCGCCACAACCGTCACTATCATCTGTCACCTCCTGCGGACAAGCAAAAAATGAAATAAGACTTTAAAATATATAGCCACTGTCATCCCTCTTATGCATTTTTAGAGTGAAGAAGAAATTCAAAACCTATTTCTGTCTAACCGCTAAATAGCTTAAGAATTTAATATCTCATGTTCATCTTAATAAGACACATAGCGTAGGGCGGTCAATTTACTATTGTGGCAATAAAACGTTTACATATTCATCAACCGTCGTCCTCATCTCATACCTTAAATACAACGGAAACTGTCACGTAGCGAGACTCTCAAAATAAGACCTGCGCCATTGAAATATTTAATGAGTCCAGGAGTTTAGCAGCCCTTGCCAAGTTACAAGTAAGGAAACTATTTTAGTAACGAATAACATTTTTCACAGTGTAACGTCATACTAAATTTTATAAGCTCTATTGCCATATTGTTTGCCATCAAGATGATATCCAGTTATTAAGACATAAATTAATAAATAAATGTTGAATTATGAATTTTGCCCAAGTACAGATACAGCAAAATGTGTTACAACATCCCACGTGATCCCATGAAGTTGAGAAACAGGTTACTTGCGTGGTTGTGATAGAAAACGGGCTGTAAGTACCCGTCAAATGCCTTGTAAAACAGTGACTTGTAACATAATCGATCGCTTATAGTACAATAATATTCCCATTTTTTGTACTTTCAAAGCATTCACAATGTATTTGGCTTAGTGAGGGGTTAAAAGATAAGTAGATAGCTAGGCAGACCGCACCATATCAGTAAAGTAACTTCAAAGAGCTGATTGGCTATAATAAAATTCCATTACTTTAAGTAGGTCCGTCTGATGTGGACGAACTATTAATAGTACCTATGCGTCCCCTCAATAATTAAAAAAACAGATTACCGTAAATGAATCTTGTCTTCATATGATTTGAAAATATTTAATTATGATTATGCATGCGCTTTGTATTTGTATATTTAAAATTGTGCTACAGCATTTCCTAATATAAATATAAAGCGCTAACTCTATTAGAAAAAGCTCTACAGCGCTTTTTATTTGTGTTATGTTTTCAATGTTAGTTTACTATAATTGAGGCAAATCGGAAATGAAATCATTGTTAATTAACTACATGTATCGTCAAGTATTATAATTACGTTTGCAGGAATTTAATTACCGAATACGTAAAAATACCTTGAAACAAGATTAAACTTCACTTTTGACTTAATTATATGATATCATTTGACATATCAAAAGTGAATAATATCTGTTTTCTTGACTGCTTTTATTGTGATCATCATAGCTGTAAATCCTCCATAGTTTGTAATAAATAAATAAATAATAAAAAATGACTCCCTCGCTACTGTCCCGTAAATAATAATCCAAACATAAGACAATAATTCTTTGCCCAACTATTTTCATTACTAGCATGCGGTGGAATTCATGCAAACAACTTAAGCCGTGTCGTAATGTTTGCAGAGAAATATGGACTATATTATAATAAAAAAATAATCATTACTACATTAATTACTTCAAGGTTTAAGTTTCGTATTATACGAAACTTCTGATGATGTTTAGAGCCTACATTGCGATCCTTACTAAATGTTAAATAACACTATTACGACAACAAACAATAAGTCAAGTTGATTGCTGCGCTAATGCTCATTAAAATATAATGAATAAACTATACTACAAAAGAAAACATTGCAAGATAGCAAGATACTTGAATAAATGTGAGTACACTTAGGTCATGACGTTTATTGGTGGCGAGACAAGAAATCTTATGCGAATTACCTACAATTGGTCCGGTCTCTTCACACCAAGGATGGAAGTCATGGAAGTAATTGGGTCAATAGTAAATTTTTTTTACTACGAATTAATAGATGGGTGATAAGTGAATAAATTTACGACCCTAATTGTCACGGACGGCAAAAAAGTTTCTGGCTATTCCGAATACATTGATCATTAATATCGTATCATCGTGTTTTCTTATTTAACTTCGTTGGTAATACACAAAGAAAGCATCGCTGAATCTAAATTATTGTATATGATATGGTTGGTGTTTTATAAATACAATCATACTCGTAGTTAGAGCATTTTACAGAAGATCATAAAAAATCCTTTTTTGTAGTGTTCAAAATAAACTTTTTATAATATGTCTATAGATTTAGCAAACAAAAACATGTGCAACCTACGCAAGGCGGCCTTAATGACGCAGGCATCTTTACCAATAATATATACACAATAAACGAATTGAGACTGATCATGATTCTCTCACGTGACGTAATCTACAATGATCTCATAGTGTATCAAGCTGTAACCGAAACACACATTGTGCAATTTTAAAATTGAAATAGTTGACGAGATAAAAGGCCCAAGAGATGTGAGTTCATCTATAACTTTTGCCGCGGTAAACTTCTTTCACCTTACTAATAAATCGATTGCCATTTTGTCGAATCACCAGCGTTAGTTGATAGATAAATTCATAGGTATTCAATATATTCTCAGGTGTGTCACCAACTTAAAACATATGCATTAATTTAGTTAGTGCCTTAAATTAGTGCAAATTTTTATTAATCTTTTTTTAATCTACCGCTGTTATTTTGGACACGTAAATATATTCTTGTTTGTTATGACTTTTAGCATAAATAAACTTTAATACCTAGGATATATATTTGTATAAATAAACTTAAAAGGCATTTTCAAGACGCATAATACAATGTTAATGTCACAATGTAACAGAGTATACAAGCACTTGTCTATTGGTAAGAAATTATCTGTCTGCAAAACGAGCACTCCCATGCGGATGTCACTGATTTCATTGCGAGTCTAACAGAAACAATATTTGTATTACCTACAATCGTTCGTACCTTTTTTTACGCGGGGAATGCTTTTCGCACCATACCCTCCGTTGGGGCAACGTAAGACGTGTGTGGGACTCTCGGAGAACAGGTCTACCCACCAAACCCCACGGCGGCCTACCTCGGCAGTCGGGAAGAGATCTAGGAACGCATCGGCCGCTTCTAGAGTCCTCTCAGCCGTACCCCATATCTGAAGCACGTCCCGGGGTGACCGTAGTCACCATGGGGCGGGACGCTGCTTCGCCTCTCACTGCTACATACAGTAAGAGGCGCGAAGGACTACATCATATTCCCACAACTAAGGGCCCAAAACAGAGCCCTGGGGAACCCCGGAACACACCTCTCTCCGATTTTCCACCCCGTTCCGACCGAAAAACTTCACTGTCCTGTCGCGCACGTAGGCCCCAATCGTTCGTACCAACACCGTAGTTTTTTAAATAGAATAATTCAATAATACTTACACAAACCTAAGAATAGTCTGTACCCGCAGTATAATACTCGCAGTATAAGACTCACTTACGATAATTGACCCAAAGAGTCATTGATGGCGTTTTAATAATTCGTAATATTGGGCAGGCGAACACGATGGCAATAGTTTCACTCAAGGTTTCATAGACAATGTGTCAATAACATTAAACGGACGTTGAACGTAATGCATTTCCGACAAAGGTAATGTATATTTTGAATGAACTCAAACATCACAGCAAGTATGTAGGTACATTATTGAATTCGAGGAGTCGTCCGGGCTGTGGATTTTTCAGAAATCACTTTTTTCTTCGAAGTAATTTTTCGAGATCAACCCCAAAGATCTGAACTACTATGGAACTAGAAAAGATGATTTATCACTGCCTGAATGATTGCAATTAAGAAGCATTAAAACACACACAAAAACAGAACTACGGCTGGCCTTTCTTGATAAATCATACATGTTTAATATCAATAAATTTCGTGGTTATGCTTATTTCGGTCAAGATCATATCACGATTCAAATGTATCATAATCATATACGCTGGCTAATAAAGATTATTCTCAAAATGATTGTTCAAGGTTGATTAAAAAAAACATTGACCTCATGTAAGTGTCAAGTAACTTAAATATTACATTTTAAAGCGTCGTTAAACATCGCTTCTGATGGTGAAAGAATTATAAAAATCATTTCAGTATTTCAGAGACTATCTGTCAAACGAGTTGATATCTATTTTTACCCGACTGCCAAGGAAGAGTTATGTTTTTCACTCGTCCCTTGTCTTTGTCTGTCTTGTCTCGGACTAAGTTCACAGATAAAATTCTTTTATAACATAGCTGCATAATGTTTTCCTTATTTTAATCAATTTTTCTATGGCTATCGACTTTTCAAATCAGTTTTTGTACTGTTTTACATAAATATTTGATAATTATAATTGTATGTATATCATTAAAAGAAAATAAAAAAAGATAATAAAGAATTATTATAGTCCACTAGCTGTAGAACTTTCGTATGTTATATTTTTATGTCACTTTTAATGTATCTGATGCATGAAATAATCATCTTGTAGAAGTACTAAATAAAGAAGAAAAGAAATGAATAAGAAAGGATAAGGAATAGATGCGGATGTACAGAACATCCGCATCTATTCCTTATCCTTTCCTTTTCCTTAATTTATTACCTATTTCAACATGTAATGAATTGTAAATTCTAAACCTACACTAATATTATTCGCGTCAGACGTTTAATCTTTATATTTAAACACAGAACGCAAACGTCTGTCAAGAGTTGTCAAAAAACCTTTGCTTTTTTTCAGCTTGCAGTTGCCACTTTATTTCATTTTCCTTTAATTCCTTATATTTCACTACAGGATTTTCAAATACGTAAATAATGCGTTTAATAATGCAACACAAACTACATTCTTTATCGAATCAGTACTTAGAAAAAAATGTCTGTAAAATGGTAACACAAAACTGATAAAGGAAATAATTATAATATTTTTCTTTCTTGTCCTGGGGTTTTACTGACTTAGACGATAGTTTTAAAAAACGTAGATATTTACTAGAATTAGTTTTCTATGATTGACATTGTTCTACTACGAATTCGCCATTGTTCTTTCTTTATTACCTCTTATCTTCTAAATAGCTGGATGGATTTCGATAGTTAAGGTATTGTTTTATCCGTCTCAAAAATCTGTTATA